AATTACATAAACACCTACAAACCGATCGTTCTTCTAGCTTGAACGCACCCCAGCATTATACGTCAGAGCTATTTTTAGATAACAAGGAAATTGCGCATAAATGTCACTAGACTTTTTTAATTAACTTGTTTTTTTAAATTCTGCTCTTTAAAAACTAAATCTCCTAACAAACAACTTTATTAATTCTAGAAGCATTGTGAGATGCAACTTGTAACCATGTTTTAAATCACGTTTTTTTTTACTAATGTTTATTTGATCTTACTATTACTATATAGTTTTTTCTTATTGTTTGAATGTTCAATATTTTCATTGCAGGTTTTTTTTAGTGATTCTATCGTAACTTATGACATTTTTTTTTACTTCTCTTTACCTTAATTAAACCCCAACCTCCGTCATATTTTTGTTGTCAATGTTACAACCAGTCATAAGGGGTCATCCATAAATGACGTCACACTCGTAGGGGGGGGGGGGTCCGTAATTTTGTGACGATGTGTGATGAGGGGGGGGGGGGGTTCAGATGTTGCGACGTCACATTTTTGCATTATAAAAAAGCAATGTTAGAAAACGAATTTTAGAAGTTATTTCGCGTTTTAGATAACTGTTTTAATAAATTGTAATAGTTTAGACAAGATTTTGGAAAAATATCGATGTTTTAAAAAAAATTCAACTGCAATTTTGAGGGGGGTTGTAGGTTGAGGTGTGGCGTCATTTTAGGGGGGGGGGTCTGACTTTTTGTGACGACGTGTGACGGAGGGGAAGGGGGGGGGGGAGGTAAAAATCGTGAAAAAAGCGTGACGTCATTTATGGATGACCCCTAATGTAAAAAATTACGCTTCGCTCTGCCTTATCTAAGATCTCTAGCCATAATTTTGACAACAATAAATGTTTTTCATCATTTATATATACAGAGAGAGAAAATGTGTTATCCACCAGCTTCCCTCGTAAAGCATCATCTAAAATAATCAGCCACTCCACCCCTTAAGTGCGTGTTGTCATTATGGTCGATCGCAAGTCTCCACCTGCCAGACACATTATGGTTATCCTTTGTTGTCGAAATGTCAATATCAAGTACCCAAGTGAGTGATATGGGATTGTCCATAAATGATGTCACATATGATTTGCTACGGGAGTGAGTGAAGATTTGTGACGTCAACTCAGGCGGCTCCGCAATTTATGACGTTTCGGTCTCATGAAAGGAGGTGAACGGGTAAAAATACCTAGGTGATTGATGGAGAACCTCTATAATGCTTTGTTCAATCAAAATAACGATAAATAAGCATTAGTATACGTATACCTTGCTTAAAACGAATCATCACAAATGTTGCAAGCCTGCTAGTTTAAGACATTTGGCAAAACGGCCTTAACTTAACACATTATCCCCGTCAAAAAGGCTAGCCACCAAATGCATGCCGACGAATAAGCCGCGTCTAATGCGGCGTTAGGAATACGGCCATTAGCATGGGCCGCGTTAGAGCACCAGTAGGCTATCGCGCTTTGTAAGATGACGTAAATACTTAAATTCAATTTCGTTAAACTGCGCGAAAATTTAGTAATGTTCCAAGGTTTGAGGAAATTTATTTTCTTGGACTTAAATTGAAATATCATGTTGACTGTCTGGCTCTTAATTTCCGAATATCACTTTTAATGTATCAAGATTCAGAACTATAATTTACTTTAATATGAGTGTCATCTTATCGTTTATTGTGCTTTTTATAAAGCGCAGAGCAGCTTCAAAATCGGACGGCCATCCTGTTTTCACCAAGCTTCTTTTGGAGCTTAATATGGGTAGTCTAGTTTTATACGGTGAGAGCTTAATACATTTTTAAAGGGCCGAAAGTCTCAAGACAGCAAGCTTGCAGAAATAACTATACGTACGTTTAAATGGACGAGTGATAGATTGATAGATGTGTTAGCAGTGTTTCTTCCAGACTTTTTTCTCCGGAGGGGGGGGGGGGGGCACTTGAAATTTTCGGGGGGGGGGGGGGGCGGACACTGTTAAAAGTATATATTTTCTATATAAATTATATAAATTTCATTTCGTTCGGGGGGTGGTAAAATTTTTTCGGGTGGGCAAAGCCCCCCCCCCCCCCCCCCCCCCCGAAGAGATGCCTGGAAGAAACTCTGTGTGTTAGGGGCTGTTTAATGAATACCAACTTATGTAATCAAATTAAACGTCGCAAAAGCGTCAAAAAGGCAGTGCTTGTTGTTGTTTTTTTCTGTAAAATTAGCCTAACGGTCGGCGGTACCGGTACATGACGTCACGTGTGAACGTTAACTCGGTGACGATGTGCTAAGTGGGGGAATGAAAAGGTGGGGTTCGAGAAATGCGACTCACATGCTTTTTACATTTCTTGACCCTTCTTAATAGTTCTATCGTCCCCACTGAGAAAATGGATCACCAATGAAAGACGCGTCATACTTCTACAGCTGGTCTTTCTCCCACAACCATCCCGTTTTCACGAAAAAAAAACCTGACCCGTCTCCAAAATCACAACGCTGAGTTCTACTCAACCTCTCCCCACCACAAATCACAATTTCTATCTGAAACAATATGTTCACATGTTTGCTCTGTAATAATGCACGCTGTCATTACTATCTTAAGAGCGACGTCATTTATAAGCGATCTAATATTGATTTGCTTACTGCAAATAAAGTGTTCAAAAGTTCGACCTCCCAACAATTGTGATGGTCTTGGATGCACACTATTAAGTCTAAAAAGGTTTATTAGTCATTCATGTCAACTATATTAAAAAAAAATATTACTATACAGGGGGTCATCCATAAATGACGTCACGCTTTTTTTGATGATTTTTACCCCCCCCCCCCCTCCGTCACACGTTGTCATAAAAAGCCAGACCCCCCCTAAAATGACGTCACACCTCAGCCTACAACCCCCCTCAAAATTGCAGTTGAATTGTTTTTAAACAGCTGTATTTTTCCAAAATCTTGTCTGAACTCTGTCAAAATAGAGTATTTTAATCAATTGTTATTACAATGTATTAAAACAGTTTTCTAAAACGCAAAATAACGTCTAAAATTCGTTTTCTAACATTGCTTTTTTAAAATGCAAAAGTGTGACGTCGCACCACCTGAACCCCCCCCCCCTCCCCCTCATCACACAACGTCACAAAATTACGGACTCCCCCCCCCCCCCCCCCTACGAGTGTGACGTCATTTATGGACGACCCCCAGGCATATATTAAAACAATACAAAACAATCATATTAAACCATAAAATCAACACAAAAGACATGCGAATAGACAATTTATTGTTTTTGAAACATGGCCGCTGCTTGTTTTTACTCATTGTTGTCTCGAACGGGGTAGTTTAAAGTTAATTCCAGGATATTTATGACTGGTTTGGTCTTGGATTGTGATTTGTTATTCGATTATCTGTTATATTATGTAAAATATGATATAAATATGGCCAAATGAAAGAAATATTCATTAGTTACCTTCATCGCACATTACTAGCTACGTTGGAATTTACGACGCTAAACTAAGATTTTACCAAAGTTGTTAATTAATATATTTTAAATTAAAATAAAACGTAAAAAGTATTTATAACTTACCTAAAATGATGTTTTTATTCTTCAAAAGCAAGTCGTGAATTGTATTTTTAAAGCTGCATGGGAGCCACCATTTTCAAAAGGGAAATGACTTAGTAATATTAAAAATAAGACAACAGAATTAACTCCCTTGTGTACCACAGTATGAACAATGGGCTTTAGAGGTAAAAAATATTTAAAAAATGCATTTTGTAAAAAAGTGTGAAGCTTTCAGCCAGGTGGGTAGCCGGTGGCCCAGTGGGCCTCAGAGGGTTAATCTTGATGGGAAAAATATGGCTACACAATTCACCGGATAGGGTATCAATGTTGTTTTCTTTGCTTACATAAACTATATGTAAACCGGTAGGTATAGATACAAATGTGACACGCGAGGCGAACCACCCAATTTGTATCATTTTATTAACAACAGTGGCAAAAATAAAAGATGAGTCAATATTGTGAATGGTTTTTAAAGTGGGAGCGTTCATATAGCAATAGGTAGGCCTACAGACTTGTGCTAAAGGAGGCGCAAAAAGTTTCATAGAAATGTACAATTAATAAAATTAAAAAGATATAGTTAAAAAAAAATGTAAATACTCATATTTTAAATAACTTTTGCAATGAATAGGATATTCTTTCATTTATTCATCGTCGATCTCTTTATTTTTTTTCTTAGATTCAAAATTTTTCGACCACTGGCAATTCGCTGCTTTAACCCTATCGTTATATAAATAAAAATAAAGATTGTGGTAACAATATTTTATGAGATAAGAGGGGGTAGGGATGCGCCAAGATTTACTAGCTTTTTCAAGGAAGTGCTACAATTAAAAAAAAAATCACTGACGGAAAACTTGAAACCACTGGCATAAATAAAATACTACATTAATAATGCATTGCCCATTGTACAATTCAAAAACATTTTTATTCTCATTTGATCATCTTTCATTAAGCAAAGCTCTCATCTAATGCCCCCCCCCCCCCCCCCATCAAAAACTCTTCGAAAGCATAGCGAGGGTTAAATTGTAGACTACACCGGACACAGTTGGGCACAAATACAACGACAAAGGTTTGACTTTTTGCCAATATAGATTTTGTAAATATAGACAAAAGCCACACAGTTATACGAGGGCTGTCCGATGGCTTTTTGTTAGAAATGTATTATTGATAGTACACGCCAAAATATTCTCATCCTTTTAACAGAAAACATTTGCTTGAATTGGTCCACTTGTTGAAGCTTGAAAATGAAGTTTGTTTTAATCAATCAGTAGATGTCAAGTTTGATGTACCACGGTCTTCCACTATCTGGGTATGACTTAACTAACAGTTTTCTTTATGGGTGAGGTGAAGGGGAGTGGGGTGGGGGTACGAGCGGTGCCGTGACGGTTTCCTCTTTTCGTCGATTGATTTTGTATACCCTGGTACGTAGAACTCACATAATCCCCAGACAGTCAGCATGATGGAGGGCGGAGTGTGGGGACTGGTCATCATACTCTCAGCCTTCATGATACAAGTGCTGACGTTTGGGACGACGGCTAGTATAGGTGTCTACAACATCGAGCTGCTCGACTACTTCGAGGGCTCGCCCGTGGGGGTGTCGCTCATAGGGTCTATCAACTTCGGCGTGTATCTCGGCTCGGGTGAGTTGTTTGATTAGGTGGATTCGGTGTTGACTCATGTTGGCCAGTGTTGACTAATTGTGACTAGTGTTGACTCATGTTGGCCAGTGTGGACTAATTGTGACCAGTGTTGACTCATGTTGGTCAGTGTTGACTAATTGTGACCAGTGTTGACTAATATTGATCATTGTTGTCTAATTTTCACTCGTATTGACTAATTAGTCCAGTGTTGACTAATTATTCCAGTGTTGAATAATTAGTCCAGTGTTGACTTATATTGACTCGTATTGACTAATTAGTACAATGTTGACTAATTATTCCCGTGTTGACTAATTATTCCAGTGTTGACTAATTATTCCAGTGTTGACTAATTAGTCCATTGTTGACTAATTATTCCCGTGTTGACTAATTATTCCAGTGTTGACTAATTATTCCAGTGTTGACTAATTAGTCCAGTGTTGACTAATTAGTCCAATGTTGACTAATTTGTCCAGTGATGACTAATTTGTCCAATGTTGACTAATTAGTCCAGTGTTGACTAATTTGTCCAGTTTTGACTAATATTGACAACTGTTGGTTAATTTCTGACATAAGTTAGCCAATGTTGACTGACGATGACCAACGTTGACTACTGTTGACTAAAATTGACCACTTTTGACTAAAATTGGCGAATACAGACCTATGTTAAATAAAATTGACTAACGTTAACCCATGTTAACCTACATTGAACAAAGTTGAATAATGTTGACTAATATCGATATATGCTGACTGCTTAATTAAACCTAATGAGGATTATTTTAAGTGTATTGTGGTATCACTAATAGGGTCTATCAAAATTATTTTCTCATTGTCTTTGATCAGTTCTTGGCTTAGGTTGGCTAATTAATATTGACCAAAGTTGACTAACATCGACTCATATTAACTAATATTGAATTAATTTGACTAATTATGAACACTCTTAAAATCTACAAAAATGAAACACATTTATTTTCATTTATAAAAAATATTGGAATACCTATACCATCTTTGTTAGACTGAATCTATTTAAAAAAGTTTAGTAAACTTCCCTTAACAAAATTTATTATTTTATAATGAATAACAAACGAGATTAATCCTGGTATAAAGTGGTTCACACAGCCGCCTCGTTTGCTGATCAGCTGATGACGGATGCACCCAACAAAAATATGATCTCTGGTTTTTAAGATAATTGCCAGATCTTGTTGTGGTGTTGGCGAGTTGCCAGGGTGGATTGAGGGAATATTTCAACGGGAGTGGGCCAGTGGGTACAAGCACAGTCAAGCTATTGATTGAATAAGACAGAACATGTAGATCTAGTGTTTGTATACGTACCCTCAAGTTCATTCGTTTTAAGCGTAAGGGGGTCATCCGTACATACGATGTTTACCCCCTCCCCCCCACGCCACCGTAACAAAAAGACAGACCTCCCCCCCCCCCCATAAAATGACGTCAGACATTAACCTACACCCCCCCCCTCAACATTACAGTTTTATTATTTTTTTAAACATTTCTTTTTAAAATATTTACTGATCTCGGTGAAATGGAGCATATTTTTCAATTTCTATTTCAATTATACAAAAATTGTTTTCTAAAACGCGAAATAACGGCTAGAATTTAATTACTAACATTACTTTTTTTTAAAAATGTAAAAATGTGACTTTATACTTTCTGAACCTCATCTCCCCCTCTCCACACATTGTCACAAATGTCTGAACAAGATAGGCAAGATAGGTCTACAATAGAATAATCCTGTTTAATCGAAGGCTTTTATACACACCTGTTGATAATTTTAAAGTTGTCTTTGGTCTACTCGTTAAATCATAAGGTTAATTGGTAGCACTTTACATACACCTATCAAGTTTTGTCGTTCATTTGTGAATACGACATGTATGGTCTAGTCGTTGTATTTATTTATCAAGGTTAGCAAAGCCATAATGTTCTGCACAGGACTGTTGTTACAGATATGACTTTGACTCTCCACAGGGCCAATAGTCAGCTTCCTGATGACCAGGTACTGCTACAGAAAGATTGCCCTCTGTGGATCGGTGATGGTGGCGATAGGCCTGATGGGATTACCGTTCCTTCCTTATATTCCAACCATGTGCCTGTTCTTTGGGGTTCTTACAGGCAAGTAGGTGAAATTAAAAATTTCGACGATCTCAAAAACACTTACAGACAAATACACAAACATACACACACACACGTGTATACATATATATATATATATATATATATATATATATATATATATATATATATATATATATATATATATATATATGCCCCTATAAATACATATAATTTATTTATATAAGCTACAAACACAGATACACATGCGTATTATCTCACATCCACACACAAACACATCAACACACGTATATACACATATAAACTATATATAGTTAATCTAAATATATAGGATAAAGTTGTTAACTAAATTACATCAATAATGAAAGTGTGATCGATCAAATAAATTTAAGCCAAATAAATGTAATCTCTGACACCTTACCCCCCCCCCCCCTTCCACCACCCCCAGGGTTCGGCAACTGCTGCACTTACATCCCCTCCCACGTCCTCACCGGCCTGTACTACGACAAGTACCGCAGCATCGCCACCGGCGTCTCGACCAGCGGCTCTGGTCTGGGCGGGGCCATCATGCCCGTGCTGGTGGGTTTCCTCATCGACACCTACAGCTGGAGGGGCTCCCTCATCTGCCTCGCCGGCCTCAACCTCCACCTCTTCATCTTCGCCGCCCTGCTGCGCTACCCCCCTATGCCTTCCATCGCGGGCACCCAGAAGCAGCCGAAGAAAAAGGTCTTGACGGACGAGTATCGCCTTGAAAAACTGGAGGAGGCTATGGTTTTAGTGACGCCGATAAAACGCCGCAGAGAAGAAAGTAGGGTAGAAATGTTCAATGCAACAACATTAAGTAATGGAGAAAACAGATCCGATGATCATACAGGTAGAAAGAAGAAGTCGCTGAACATAGACGAGAGCAGACCAGACTCCCATAAAACAACATACCAGCGGTCATTAAGCAAGGAAGAATATAAATCAGATACATCGACTTTTAAAATACAGCAGTTGTGTAGAAAGGAAGAGAGCAGGTCAGACTTGAACAAGGCAACGTGCCAGCGGTCAATGAGGAAAGAAGAAAGTAAAAATACACTAGATACCCCAGCTGGTAAAAATACACTAGATACCCCAGCTGGTAAAAATACACTAGATACCCCAGCTGGTAAAAATACACTAGATACCCCAGCTGGTAAAAATACACTAGATACCCCAGCTGGTAAAAATACACTAGATACCCCAGCTGGTAAAAATACACTAGATACCCCAGCTGGTAAAAATACACTAGATACCCCAGCTGGTAAAAATACACTAGATACCCCAGCTGGTAAAAATACACTAGATACCCCAGCTGGTAAAAATACACTAGATACCCCAGCTGGTAAAAGTACACTAGATACCCCAGCTGGTAAAAACCAGCTGCGGTGTAAAGCAGAAGACAGCAGACAGAGTTCCCACAATGCAACTCACCAGCGGCCGTCTAGCTACGCCAGCTGCTGCAGCAACGTCACCAACTACGACAACTTTGGCCTTGACCTTGGCGCGATCCAGTTCATCGACCAGGTCAGCATGACCGAGTCCGGCTACTCGGCGACCGACGTGCTCAACCTGTCAGACAGGCTCCAGCTGTCGACCAGCATCGTGCTCACCGTCGACGTGGCTCCGGATAAAAACGTCAAACACCGGGACAAAAATTTACTCCACGCCTCCGGCGACTCCGGTAACCATGACAACCACCGACGCAGTTTCCTCGACGTGCTGTACCCGCGCAACATCTCGTCCCACTCCTTGTTCGCCCTGGGGTCTCGCGGCTCCACCGTCATCTACATCGACGCCTTTCATTTCTCCGACGTCATCCGGTCAGTCTCCGACATGGACAGAAGCGCTTCCGGAACGTCCGTGATTCCCATGTCCTCCAGGCATGTCTACATCTTCACCAACTACGGCTTCAACATTTATTTCCTCAGCAACATCATGTGGAATGCCGGCTACGCCATCATACAATCGTTCGCGCCGGAATTTCTTCAAGACAAAGGTCTTTCTCTCATGGAAGCGGCTTGGTTAAGTGGGGCTTTTGGGTTTGCAAGTTTCGTCGGCGGAGTCGTGGGCGGGATTTTAGGCAATTTTGAATACGTCAACCGGCAAGCGTTGTACACGGTTGCCTGCGTCGTCATGGGCGCGGTCACCATCGCCTTCCCACAATTCCAGAACATTTTCCTCTACACGACGACGCTGGTCATCAGCGGACTCGCCTTTGGCGTCATCCTAGGGCTGCTGATCGTCGTCCTCACCGACCTGGTGGGCGTGGACAGTCTGGGCAACGGCCTCGGTTACCTCATGTTGTCTAATGGACTAGGCACTTTCATAGGGCCGCCCATTGCCAGTAAGTTGCTTTGTGCTGTTGTTTATTTATTTTTTTTTAAAATGCAAAGTCTCTGAATGTTCTCTGGTTTGTAGTGCATAAAGTAAGCTATGCATTCATGGGTTGGTAAAGTAGCTAAGTTTAAGAACAATCACAAAATATTAAAAAGAAATTAAAATACATCAGAAAGCGGGTGAATAAAAAAAATATTTCCCGTTTGTGTGTTTGATAATAAGTGACGAATAATTATTGTTTACGGGAAGAATTGAGGTATTAGGGTGCTGGATGTATTAACCACGAAGTCATTATTTACTGGTATCAACCCTGTAAAGTAAAGTAAGGGCCAGTTAGGTGGTACTAATTACCTCTTGATATCAACTTGAAGAACTTAACGCAGCATAAGACATGAGCTAAGCAAGTTAAGAAAATGTACTGCTTTACACGCTGATTTAGCTGTTTTCTACGTTGCTTGTGTACGGTTTCTTCCAGACATTTTGCTCCGGAAGGAGGGGGGGGGGGGGGGGTACTTGATATATTTATATTTTTTTAGGGGGGGGGGGTCTGACACTGTAAAAAGTATACATTTTCTATATAAATTCCATTTCGTTCGGGTGGTGGTAGACTTGCTTCTAGGGGGGGGGGGGCGGTGGAAACCCCCCACTCCCCCGAAGAGATGCCTGGAAGAAACTCTGCTTGTGTAACAGTAAAATAAATACTACACGTTTTGTAGTCGAATGTCGTGTTTCTTTGTGGTTCTTAATCTGGGTTCGATCGAACCACAGGGGTTCGGTGAGTCATTCTCAATGGGCTCGGGGTTCGGCGGAGTTCAAGACACACCCGACTCATGATTTCACGATCGGATTTTGTCGCTGTGGACTACAGAACTATTAAGAAGGGTTCGGTGAATGCGCATATGAAACTGGTGGGGTTCATGTCGCCGAAGATTTTTGAACCATACATTTGCGGAGGGTGATTAACGTACACTCAATACTTTCATTCAGAACGCCGAGGGGCGTCTGGGCGGTAGTGCGGAGAAGCCAACGCCCCAACAACTAAGATCGAAGCAATAGGGCACCTGCTTTATTACAGTTAAATATCTCAAGTTTTAGAAAACAATGTCACACAAGTCATATAAAAATACACGATTTGGAACTCGTTAATGAAACCCTTAAAATTGTTCCGTCTATCTGGTGTGTAGAACTAGATCGCAGTAACGCGAGACGAGTACGCTAGTATGAAATAAAACTTATCTCCCATATATATCCATTTAACTATAACAAGGGATGTAACTGAAATTTAAATTCACCATATCAACAAAGAATTTTTGAAAAATAACTCTAAAGTATAGATAATTGTTTCATTTTGATTCTTGTTTCATTACATTAGTGTATTTTTGCAGCAACTACTTTTGTTACGTTTGTTGTATATTAAACAAAAATGCAATTTACAGTTAAATTGCAAGCTAAAATGAAACACATTCATTTATTTTTATTTGTTTTTACGTTTAGTATTAATGTTTTTTTAAACGTGGTTTAATCACTTCGCTTATAGCTCGTATTGTTTTTTAAATGCTTCTATTATTATATTATCAATTTTTGTTAATCCTAAATTTATTTCTGATCTAGTTTTAAGTAAATGTTTCGAATTATGTACACGTATAAGTAAACAATTTTCAATGAATGAAAGTAGCGTACATGTCAGAAAGAAGCAGGGTAAAGCTGCATCAGTCATAACATGCAGGGAGAGAGGGGTGGGGGGCACATAAAAACTTTCTGGTGTGGGGGGGGGGGGGGGGGGGGCGGACACGGGTAAAAGTGTATATTTTCTTTATAAATTCTATTTCGTTTCGGGGGAAGGGGGTACGTGCTTGCTTCGGCGCCGCCCCCGAAGAGATGAATGAAAGAAACACTGGTTTTAAATTACATGCCTGAAAAGAAAAAAAAATACACACTTTTATCGTTTTCTTTTAACTATGCGCTTCGTGATGCCTTGTCAGATATAAGTATAAGTAACGAGCAATGAGGCTAAAATGAGTGCTGAGCCACTTAAACACAAATTTTACAAATGCAGTAGGTTTGTTGTCAAATTTCCGTCAACAGCTATTGTTTATAAACACGGAAGATTGAATACAGTCTATACATTCTTACATTATGTACACACGACAAAACGTCGCTGAGCATTGATAACATATAGGCCTATAGCTTTTTTAAAACATGTTTTTTAAAAATTAAGTTAGGGCTCATAGAAAACGACGTCATTCAATTTTAATCGATTTTAAATTTTCCCCCTCGCTCGCCACAAACAGCCATTATTTATATATATATATTAATATATATATATATATTAATATATATATATATATTAATATATATATATATATTAATATATATATATATATTAATATATATATATATATTAATATATATATATATATATATATATATATATATATATATATATATATATATATATATATATATATATTAATATATATACATTGGCTAAAAGTATACGGATGATTTTCCACTCCAATTGAAGATGTATCTTTTAAAATAAAACTCAAAACAATGTTTGTTCATTCGAAAGGTATATTGTCAAAAACCTTGTTACCAAAAGCGTATTGCAATTTACTTAGATTTAAAGTAAGAAGTTTGAAACTAGAATAAGTTAAGGAAAAGGAAATTATATTTCCTAAAATATAGGGAAAATTTGAGTGATTTGGCAAAACTAATAAGAGACACTTATGTGCACAATTATATGCAAGCCTTTACATTTGTTATAAAATACACATATTACATAGAATGTATTATAGAATATGTGCGTCTAGATCTTATAATGACACGTTAAAATGAACGCATTATTTACAGTGCTAAAATCTTATCAGCTGCAGGAAAAATCGTCACAAAATTACGTGGGAAAATAAAAAATTCAGCAGAAAGTTTTTTAAAAAAAGAAATTTTTGTCTAACGCCGCAAACCCTGTTGCGTGATAAGCGGCGTCCATTTGTTTTTACTATATACCTCTTCCCACCAGTTTCTTTCAATCATCTCTTAGGGGGTGGAAGGGGGGGGGGGAGGGAATGCCCCTAGAGAAAGTCACTTTTGAATATTATAGGGCTATATAAAATATACGGCTATATAAATTATATGCTTCAACCAGTGTCCGCCCCCACGAATTCCCGAGAAAAATGTCTGAAATAAACCCTGCCCACACAAACGCCCGGCCCTCTTAGCTCGTGAAGAAACCTTCCTTCCTTACATAAATATGTGAGGAAACCTTCCTTACATAAATGTGAGAAAAAACTTCCTTACATAAATATGTGAGGAAACCTTCCTTACATAAATGTGAGGAAACCTTCCTTCCATAAATGTGTGAGGAAACCTTCCTTACATAAATATGTGAGGAAACCTTCCTTACATAAATGTGAGGAAACCTTCCTTCCATAAATGTGTGAGGAAACCTTCCTTACATAAATATGTGAGGAAACCTTCCTTACATAAATATGTGAGGAAACCTTCCTTACATAAATATGTGAGGAAACCTTCCTTACATAAATATGTGAGGAAACCTTCCTTCCATAAATGTGTGAGGAAACCTTCCTTACATAAATATGTGAGGAAACCTTCCTTACATAAATGTGAGGAAACCTTCCTTCCATAAATGTGTGAGGAAACCTTCCTTACATAAATATGTGAGGAAACCTTCCTTACATAAATATGTGAGGAAACCTTCCTTACATAAATGTGTGAGGAAACCTTCCTTCCATAAATGTGTGAGGAAACCTTCCTTACATAAATATGTGAGGAAACCTTCCTTACATAAATATGTGAGGAAACCTTCCTTACATAAATATGTGAGGAAACCTTCCTTACATAAATATGTGAGGAAACCTTCCTTCCATAAATGTGTGAGGAAACCTTCCTTACATAAATATGTGAGGAAACCTTCCTTACATAAATGTGAGGAAACCTTCCTTCCATAAATGTGTGAGGAAACCTTCCTTACATAAATATGTGAGGAAACCTTCCTTACATAAATATGTGAGGAAACCTTCCTTACATAAATGTGTGAGGAAACCTTCCTTCCATAAATGTGTGAGGAAACCTTCCTTACATAAATATGTGAGGAAACCTTCCTTACATAAATGTGTGAGGAAACCTTCCTTACATAAATATGTGAGGAAACCTTCCTTACATAAACGTGAACCTTTGTTAAACTTGTATTTTTCAGGTGTTATAAAAGAAAGCACCGGTGGCTTTGATACAGGTATAGTTCTAGCAGGGGGACTCTGTATACTGGGTGGACTCATCATGCTCATGATGCCCCTACATCGCTGCTGCCGGCACTCTTGCCAGGGGAAACAACACAAGCAGGAAGAATGTAGAATGGTCTCCCTTTAAGCTAGTCATACATTTCTATGCTACTTGCACAACGGATTAGTTGATTGTACGAGTCATGTTTGTGTATGTATACAGGGTTGTTGACGTGTGTATAGTGTGACCCATCAGTTGTATTAGAAGTGAGTTATATTCCAGTTAGAAGATAAATGCTGATACAATTGACAGATGAGTATGATATGTTTTGTTAGTCCCGAGACCATAGGACATGTAAGGGTAATGTCCCAAGTTGGTGAATGTATCATTTGTGTTTGTCTATAGTACAAGGTGAACTAGCAGTAGTTGTAGAGTTCCATTAACAGTATACGTAAGACATGGAGGAATTAAATTACCATCTGGGAGTTGCCTAGCACTGGATACCCCAGCAAAACAGGTGACATGGATACATGTGTTGTTTGGTTACGTAATCTAGACAGAACAGTGTGACAAGGTAATGTAATAATCTAGACAAGACAGTGTGAGAAAGTTGTGTGATCTATACATGACAGTATGACAGGCAAGTCGTGTAATGTTATAGTCTATTGTTTTAATACATTTCAAATACATTTTGTACGCGTCTCTGGCCTAACTCACATAAAAATAATTTTAAAAACCAAATTGTTGAATTTTTGTTATATATGATTAGATTTATCTCATGTTTGAAAACAAACATGTCACAAAGATTCTTTTAAAATATTTCCTTACTTTTTTTGCCTCTGTATGTCTAATAGTAAAAGATTACTAATACCAAGTTAAACATAACTAAATATATTTGTTCTATATTACTTAATCCTTGAGCAGAAACATTTTCAGAATTATAGTAAATTTTTTAAGAGTAGGATTAGCTCTTTGACTAAGGACAATTTACTGAACTACATGTACAAACCACTAGCATATTTAAACTTAATAAAATCACAGGGTGTACAATACAATTTTAAAATAATTCATCTTGGCAATGTAAAAAGTAAAATCAATTCCAATTACCATAATTTAAAATTTCTATTAGTTTTTTTAACAACAAATTTGTGTTTAAAATACATTAGAGATGAATCAAAACATAAATATATTTTATACATGTTCACTTTTAGTCAGATAGTTCTTATACATATATTAACAAAAAATATCTCAGGAATAATTGTACATATAAAAAAAAACCAATCAATACTTGTATCTTTTCATAAATTCCTCTTTAAATTTGGAACCTTTGACGACTAGAATAAAACCAGGGGTACCTGCATACACCAGATATCTGAAACAGAAGGCAGAGATATGATTCAGGCATTGATGTTACATTTCACACATATCAGTGAGCAGGAGATGTATTAAAATCTTGAGCTCTGACTTTAAATAACCAAATACTTAGCTATTATAGATAATCTAAAATAATATTTCAATATATAAGCTCGTTGAAATATGTTTTAAGACCTGCCAGTTATCAAAGATCTATCAGTAATAAACCAATTAATCATAATTTGTTAAATAAAAACTCATTTATTCATTACAATGTCAATAGGCTTGATAAAAATCTATTTGTAGTTCAATCTAGTTTTATAGAATAAAAAACATTCCCAAAACTGTTTCAGTGGTAAAACTTTAGTACCACCTAACTAAGGAATGCAGGGTGGGAGACTGCCTGATTGAGGGTATTAAAATATTTCCAGGACCAACATTTACATTTTAAAAAATTAAATTTTTATTAAAAAATGGCAAATTATATTTTGTTCATTATGGGATTTTAGAAAAAGGCATAGGACAAAAATCTGCAATGTTGTAATCAGAAAGTTGGAAAAATAATACACAGGCGATGCAATTTATAGGTAAAAGAATGAAAAAAATATCTGTACAACAATGTTAACATCTTACTTTTTATGTTTCAAAGTTTGCAGCAGTGTAGACTCTAAAGACACCTGATAAAGTTTTTCTTCATCTTTATGTTCAAAGTAAATCTGAAACATCAGGGGATAGAAAGGCCATGAAGTACATTCAAGTGAATTTAATTGTTAAAGATTTTAGATACATCATGATATAATATAGTAATTAAAATATATCAGGGTTAAGAAAGATTGAGTGTGGACAACCAGTAAAACAAACAAAATGTACCTCAATGTTTTCGGGTTTGTATTTATGTTCTATGTCCCAGGTTGGTGGTTCTACTTCAGGACCAAACATGTGTGCCAGGTGGTCTATGAAACTGTGGTTAAAATTATTTGGTATTTAAATGTGTGCCAGGTAGGCTATGAAATTAAGAATAAAATATTTGGTATTATCTATGTAAGAGTTCGAACCCTCGGGCAGATGAGGCTCGTTAGCTGGGGACAGCCACTCTTCTAGGAGAGACAACTCCAAAATCAAACAACTGCTGCCTTGTAGTTTGTTCTTGGTTGGACAAAGGCTATGGAAGCAAATCCAAAAAGAAAAGCAGGCTGAAATCGGAGTCAATGGCCTCAATGGCGCATAACCAGTTGACACGTAACGCTTAATTGTGTTGGAGGCGTGGTCGAGTCATAGTTGATAAATTCGAACGAAAGTCTCCAGTTCAAACCCACTGGCAGATAAATCTCGATCCCCTTCAACGCTAATAATTAAGAACGAAGAAGAAGAAAGAAGAAGATCTATGTAAGAAACAGAGACTCTTAAATAATTTCTATTTTCTAAATGGTTTCTTTCATCAATGGAAAGACTTTTGAAAACTTAGGCAAGTAATTTAATTTGTGTTTAAAAGCAAGTATTTTTACTGATATTAACATAGTGGTGACTACAATAGATATTTTATAACAATTTCATATGATTCTATTTACAGTAATTAAAATAATAAAGGTTAATAAATCAAAGATATAAATTTTTATGAACTGACCTATAGTTTTCATTAAAATCTGTGATGAAATCTGTCTCTGTGTACTCAGGGTAGAAGAAAATAACTGGCCAGTGTAGGACACCTTGGTCATCTAGATGGACTTTGGCCCCTGTAGGGTTGTGAGACTCCAGGGCAGTCAGAAGTAGGGGGTCAATCTTGACGTCTTTAGAGACCTTCATACTGGCCACCTTGATACCTCGATCCTGTGGGTAGAGTACAGGTTAGCTCACCTGACTGCAGAGGTATATAGAATTTACATTCCCTCTGCAGACCTAATGGTCTACTGGGAAGTAAAATTCATCCCTGATATGAGCATTTGATGGGATTTTAGGGTCAACACAATGTCAAACTGCTATTACTATCATAGACTTGTCTTATGAGACAAACATGCAGAATTTTAAAAATTACACTGAATTATTTCTTTAATTTTACTGAAGAATTAAAAAAAAAAAAACTTTTATTTTTTAATGCACAATATGAGACTGTTTTGTCATTCCTTAGTTCCCTCCCTTGTTTTTCTACTTCTAAAATAAAAAGGAAAACCAGAAGTTTATATTTTATTTTCAATTAAAATCACAGTGCACATTACCAAGACAGTTTGTAGCAGTTTCCTATCCTCTGCTTCTTCCTTTCTGTCAAGAGCAGCCTGCCTTCTTTCATCTCTTTCCTGGGCTCTCTAGGAATACATGGAATTGTATTTATGTACAGTTTCAGTATATCATTTTATTAAAGCATATATAGTTTAGTCCTATTCTGAACGTGCAATTTTTGCAAATTTTTTAGTTGTTTTTTATAATTAATGTAAAAAGATAATGTACAAAACTGGCATGAAAAAAATATCATGGATTCTTCATGGCGTGATTAAATAAAACAACTTACTTTCCCTTTATCCGACTGCACTCTTAGGTCTAAAATTTCTGCATTTTCAGGATCCACCTGTTTCAATCAATAATATTCCTTTTGTTATTACAGTAACACAAACTGTAGTAAGATAAATAAATAAATTTTACTTTTCATGTGATATTCATAACAAACAATAACAAATATGAATATCTCAATATAAGCATTCATTGTTGTAATATTGAAGAAGATCCTTAGAGTGACAGCTCAATTTAAAACAGATAAACAAGTTATTAATCAAAATATCTTTTACAATATCATGTTTTAAATTACCATAAAAACAGCATCAAAAATATAAACTTGTTATAAACTAAAAGAGTGATTAATACGGCAGTGTTATAAACCATATTACCATTAGAGCTGCATCACACCAACGTACAGCATCACCATATTTACTCATCTTGTAACAACAGTTAGCTCCTGAAATATTGATTATCATTAAAAGTTATCTCGGGCAGATGAGGCTCGTTAGCTGGGGACAGCCACTCTTCTAGGAGAGACAACTCCAAAATTAAACAACTGCTGCCTTGTAGTTTGTTCTTGGTTGGACAAAGGCTATGGAAGCAAATCCAAAAAGAAAAGCAGGCTGAAATTGGAGTCAATGGCCTCAATGGCGCAAAACCAGTTGACACGTAACGCTTAATTGTGTTGGAGGCGTGGTCGAGTCGGCAAAAAGCTCATGGTTGATAAATTCGAACAAAGTCTCGAGTTCAAACCCACTGGCAGATAAATCTTGATCCCCTTCAACACTAATAATTAAGAATGAAGAAGAAGAAGATTAAAAGTTATTCCAGTTTATGGTAGGTCAAAATAATTCTCAACACTAAATATCACCCCCTAGTTGCTTACCCCTGATGATAGCCTTCAAATGATCAGGTTTAAATTTACGTGCAAATATACAGTCATTGAACGATGATCTGTAGTTACCTGAAATAAAAAAAGAAAACATTCTCATAGCAATTAATTTTCCAATAAATCTCAATATTTAAAATAAAACTTCTCATCCTTACAAAGCATTAATTTAAGGTTTCTTTATAAGCAAAGATACCCAAAAAAATACAACCTGAAATTCTTTATGCAAATACTATCACGGGTAAAAAAAAGTTGTAGCGTCAAATGTTAAAAATTATTTCTGAAAATTAATAAATATTGTATGATGCATTTAAACTACTTTTTAGGAAGACATACCCAGGTAAAACTGAGCAGCAGCTCTATTAGCATACAATATTGCATTGAGCTCAGCATCAGGGCAGCGACTCTTTATCCCTTCAGTGTAGTTGGCTATAGCGATCTTGTACTTCTTCAGCTTGAACTGCTCATTGCCCTCATCTCTGTAGCTATCTGCCCGTGCTGGCATTTTACAACAATCAATTGTTTTTAAACATTTACATCAGATAAGTAAATGTAAATATTTTTATCAACAGCACCATGAAATGACATGAACAGCAATATAAAGTATTTAAAAAAAATAAAATAAAAAAACAAAACCATTAAAAAATTGCATGAATGTAAGTAGAAAAAAACCTTAAATCAAATTTATTATTATAAGCTTACCAGTTGGGTTTTCGGTCTCATATTTAAGTTGCATTAAGCCCTCGATCTCTGGAGGGAGTGGTTTGCTCCAGTCAATGTCTGTCATAAATGCTGGATGATTCTTGAGTTCCTGTAGGACAATAAAATAAGTGTCTGTTTAGGATGCTCACACTGATTGATTTTCATTATTGACAGTTGAGTAAATACAAATTATAAACTTTACATGCAATCATATCCTATGTTACAAAGAAAACAGAAGTAACTTAAGAGGCTTTCTCACTTTAATACAATAAAAACAAAATCTAGAGAAATGACTCAGTGTTGATTTATAAGTACTATATAAACATGTTTTATTCTTGTCTGTTTATTACTAGCCCATTATAATTTACTATTTCTGTCTTATTGGACATTTTTTCCTGATGGCTTTTGAGCTTTTACTTGCTCTAACCAAGGTTTTAGTATCATTTAAGATAAACTTTAAAAAAAAAAATTCTACCTCTGCAATTTCGTCAATGGTTCTATTGTCTGCAGGATCTGTAGCTTTCTTGTTTCTCGCTGCGATTGATCTTTCTGCGACAAAATCCTCAAGATCAGCATTCAGTTTCTCAATCATGAGTTTTCTTTCCTCATCAGACATCACATTCTTAGACTTTGATGGAGGCATGTTGTCTGGATAAGACCAGCAAACTTATTTAAAGTATTCAGTATGTTTGAATTATAACAGTGCTATGCAAAATAAAAGCATGAAATAGGCCTATACAGAGTAATACTATTTAGAGTAGATCTATAGGCCCAATAATATTGCATAGCAAAGTTGTACTAAAATCCATGAGGAGTTGGGATGTATTATATAATATAGGACATAGGCCTAACTATTAATATTATTATTAGGCTATATTTTTTATTTTATTATATGCAATATCTGAAAAATTAGCTGGAAATGGAGGGGAACACATGTCTGACATCTAGTCTTAAAAGTAGGTGGCTGGTAACCTGATAGGGGAAGGTGTCATTCATTTATGATGGCCACACAAATCAACTTTTGTGGACTGGGGGAAGGGGGTTTTAAAATTCTAAATTTTTGTGGACGTCGTAAATGGATGACCCTAAGAGAGAGTGGGGTCCTAGTAATATGTGAGATGTGACATCACACTAAAATGGCAAGGCAGTAAAATGTAAGAAGGGCGTGACAATGGTTGATTACATGGTCAAATTTTACCCCACACTATCGGTAGGCTTTGTGGGGGTGAAGTGAGCAGATATCAATATAATACAATTAATAATATATAAATATAGGCCTATCAATTCTTAAAAGCAAAATTTTTACTGAAATTGAATCCCAAAATCCCAATGAATAATAATCATAAACTATGATGCAGATTTTCATTTGTATAGGCCTACTCTTTATTTAAGTTTGTATTGTTATAAATATTATAATGAAATATAGTAATGTAACCCAGGCGTAGTGACCCTTCCCGGGGACAAACTTTCGATTTGCACCCCTCCCCTCAAACTTTTGATTTGCACCCCACCTCAAACTTTTAATTTGCACCCTCCCCCTCAAACTTTTGATATGCACACCCCCTCAAACTTTCAATTACTGATTATTAGTAAGATTACTTTTTCCAACCCATTTTGGCGCCCCCTAAAGTCGGTGCCCGGGGACATGCCCCCCCCCCCCCCCCGCCACTACGTCTCTGATGTAACCTCACCACCACTCTTTTTTAAATTTTAGTAGGAGTCAGTCAGTAGCTGAACTGAACAGTAGCACCCCCCCCCCATGCTCTACAGTACTCTACACTTCTTCTCTACACTCTACCTACGCTACTCTTCTCAAACGACTTTTAAAATCAAGTTAAGTAAGTAAGACTTAAGACGACTGAGACGTTAGTCTGCTTTAGCTAGTTTTAAGCCCTACTGAAAATAAAATAAATAAATTATTAACAGACCCCTAAGCCAAAAAAAAAAAACAACAAAAAAACAACAGGTTAAATGTTTAATTTAACTTCCAACATTCAACATACCACGTGAATATGTTCTATGTTTACAAACACTGCTACACCGATCTCCCTAAATACACCAACATTAGTGAAAGTTTTGAAAAACAAAAAAGCATACCATACCCAATATTTGAATCAACTCCTTGTCTTACTTATTTTAGTTTCAGTGACACTTTTGCCACACAAAAATTACATATAGAATCTAGATCTAGATCTACTAAGAGTCTGGAATGTTTGATAATTTAAAATTAATTTTGTTTCCAAAAGATATACATTATTTTGTTTAGCTGTAAAGATGGTTACTAACTGTAGTTTTAAAAAGTGATTTATCAGTATTTAAAACATCTCTGTTAAAAATAAAAAACAATTTACGATCTAAACAATAGAATTAATATTTTGAAAAACAAGATATTCGTAAAAACCAGTAAACCAATTTCGCACAGATTTATACAAACCAGCTTCATTTAATTTAAGAAAGCCCTGCCGACTAGTTTTCTTGTATGCCTTTTTAATAAAGTCCTTATTTTGTTTTAATTTTACAACTAAGGCTTAATGTAAATGATATACAAGGGACTAAATATTATACTTATAAAGAAAATATTTAAAAACCATTTCACCCCTCCCCCTCCCCGACAGTTACAAGTGCGCCCATAAAAGATTTAGGAATAGGGCTGTAATTTTTATTTTCTTAAACGTTTGAGCTTATTTTGTATCCTATCGACTTTTAGTATGACATTATCAGTTTTATTCTAAAATAATTGTGGAAATAGACTAATTATAAACTATTTTATTTAGTAATTGCTCATTGAAAATACACACAAAGATTTTTAATAACATGTTGATATTTAATTTTAAAACGACGAAATACTGTTTTATTACAAATTTATGATATAATTAAAAGTAGCATTTAGTGTGTTTGTGTATTTAGCCAAACAGTAACACAAGAATTTAAAATGGCGGCTCCTTCAGTGTTTTTGGTAATGGTGAGCGGACAAATCGAGTCTGCAGAGGTTTGTTAATCACAATAAAGTTATTTTTAATATAAATTTTCATTAAACATATAAAGATCTTATTATTTTACATATTTTTGTATTTGTTATACTTTACTTTTTAATTGTATTCAAAATTTATTTATCGTTGTCAAGTGTAAACATGTTCAGATCAACTTCAATGTTCAGTGACAGTCACTTGCTCTTTAAGAGTAAATCTGCTGCGCGATATTTGAATGTTGGCAAATGGCAATTATACTATTATTGTCGCAAATTGTTGCTTTTTAAAGTGATTGCAGTTTTATCAGGATAAAAAAAGAACAAATTCAAATGAACGCCAATACCCTCCCAAACTTTTATAATCATGTTTTCTCTTTAGTCTTTAACATTCATTTTACATGGTTCACACATTTGAATATTTTAACAGGTTAATTTATATTTTATTAGAATTAAGATAATTAGATCTAGACAATAATCTTATTTTGCTTTTAATAGTTTCCAGAATTTGATGATATATACTGCAAGTATTGCTTCTCATATGGACTTGATTGGGCCATCACTTCAGTAAGAAACTCTTCTTGTTGGTTTATTTATATAGTCTAGTTAGCAATTATTAAACATCTGTCCGAAGCCCAGTAAAGTTTTCAGTCACTTTGATTTTACACAGTCGTTTTTAAAAATGAGTACATTTTTCTAGTTAAGTATCAAGTAGACTAAATTTATTATTCAAAGGGTCTTGAAGAGAGTATAACACAAATTACTAAAAAGACCAGAGATCAATATCAAAGATTTGTTTGGAATTTCCCAATCGATGCCACATTCAAGAGCACAAGTCCTGCAGGCTGTAAGTTTCTTTTAATCTTAAATTTAGGTTGCAATGTCTATCTGTCTGTGGATGGGTTTATGATCAAATCCTGTACTCAGTTTTAACTTCAATCTTTTCAGATCAATTATTTTCAATGACAAAGCAAATCATTAAAAATTAAATGAAATTACTATCTCGATAACTAAAAATGAAAGATAAACAGGATTAAGTACTAACGATTGCTCAATCAACCAGGTGCTCTGTTTTTCTCTGATGTTTGTTTTCACACTTGAAAGTGAACTACAGACATTAAAAAAGGGCAGATAATTTTAGTTTATAGCTGAGATCTCAAGCTTCTCCTTGGGTTTTAAATAAAATATTTTTTGTCTTATTGGGTGTCGACTTAACTAAGAGCAAACAGAATGGTAAAACTGGAGTATCAGTACTAAATGTTTTAAAAAACTTAAATATTACTTGCAATTGAATTTTTTAAATTCTTCATTTTATTGAAAAGTAAAAATATTAAAATCATAATAATATTAAGCTTTAAAATCCACTTTAAGAAAGTATATGAAAACCGAAGAAACTTTCTCATTTTAGTAAGAACATTGGTCATCATGGCATGTCTTATACATTTTACAATGAAAATCATTTACATAAAAAAAAGAAAGATAATCATTTAGGCCCTAATTAAATTTATGGGATGATAAAATTTAAATTCTAATTTCTAATCATCTTCTTTACCCTCCCTACAGGGCCACAACTAGTTGTCTATGCATATGGCCTGGATGCCTTTGGAACAGATGTTGTGCGTGGTTATGGTGTTTGCCATGTACCAATTACACCTGGAAGGTTTGTTGTGTAGCTGTAAAGATAATTATACCAAAACTTGTCCGTGGTCTTGGTAATTAGTTTTTAGATGCTGATAGTGATCAAAACTTTAAAAAAAACTTATACATCTCTATTACAAAATAATGAAATAAAAGTTCTTTGCTACTTTTTACTGATTATTGTAAAGGTGTAAGTTTATGATGTCCACATTTAAAGGGTGGGAGCACCCAACTTTTTATGTGTATGAATCCATGTGTACAACCACACTCTAAATTTAACATCCAAATGCTTATATGTTGCAGCAAAAAATATTGTGTCTTTCTAAAGTGGTGGATGTGTGTGGACAGGGAGGGAGGGGTCTAAAATTGTATGTGGACATCATAAATGTAAATGACACAAAAAATAATCTAATTATATATTAAATTAGAGGCCCCATGTATCTTGGGCACCAAAAGGAAATAAAATTTAATTTTGTTTTAATATTAGGGAAAAACTGAATGTACAGAATTAAAGTAGTTGTATGTGTGCTCATTTTCTTATATAATATTCCTCAGACATCGCCTTAAAATTCCCATGTTTGTACCAGAATCTTCTTCACTGTTCCAAAAATTTACTTCCTGGTTCTTGGGTCGACGCCCTGAATATGTCAACCCCAGGGTAGTAGCACAGGGAGAGGGAAGAGAAGGTAAGTAATTTTCATTAAGTGACTATTGCGACAGGTTAACCCTAGGTAGTAGCACAGGGGGGAGAGGAGAGGTGAGTATTTTTTAATTATAATAGTTTTGCTATACAAAATAAATAAAATGTATAGAAACCTGACTTTGGCAGCAATTACTGCCTCAATGGAGGTTACGACTTTGTTAAATCTGCTAATGTTTTTTATTGTGGTCATTTTTCAGTGACAAGAGTGAGAAGTCAGGGCTTTGTTACAGTATCATTTAACATCATCATGAAAGACATGAAGAAGCTTGGCTATGATGTTTCACCCTCTGATGTTCAAAATCCATCCATTCCTGAGACAGTCAATGCCATCAGCAGCTCCTAATGCACTCCACCATTCAGTTACATCAAGTCTTGTCAGCTTGATAGTCGAAGCATGAGTCACAATGGTGCCTTTGGAGGTGTATATTTTAATTGTATCAATAGCCTACTTAGTGTAAGTTAAATATATTAATAACTACTCATTTTGTTTTGATATATTATTTAAAATAATCTGTAAGCAGTAATAATGTATATGTTTGTTGAAGATTATTTAAAAAAATCTATGGTTATAGGCAAATTGCATCAGTTTTATGATGTTGTTTTAGTGTCATGTTCTACAACACTTACGCGGCTGCCAACTTCATTAGAAGGTATTTGTGATTTCAGTGTAAATAACAAGATCAAAATATTTATGTTTTATTTTTCTTCACAGCCATTTACTTTATTACATAAATTATATTGGTTGATGAAATTTAATTATTTTGTTACTAATGTAGTTTGAATTGTTTGAATGAAACATTGTCATTTAGATGACATTATTGAGTTCAGTATGTTATGAGACTCATGATACTTTAATGTTCTTTTAATAAAAACTGAACAAATGCTGTATTGAAAGGCTACGGTAGACCAGTGACCAAAACAAGGTCACTTCCTACTGGTTTGTACAGAGTAATTAGATGGCTCTTCAAAATGTATTGCTACACCACTGGGTCTGTCAGCTGTTTAACCTTTGACACAAGAATTTGCATACATCTGTTGATCTGTCCTGAAGACTAGGAATTTCTCCACAGTTGGTCTATTTTTAACCCAGAAAAAGGATCCTACCTTGGCAGCATATTTTTCCTATACTTTGCTGGTTTTTTCCCTCCCAGAGATATTAAAATAATATGTAATGAAATACTGTACATACATTTTGTTTTCTCAGTCCCTCCAATTTTATTAATTATACATAAGTATAAGTTTGTAATTATTAATTTTCACATGTAAACTCTTATTTTATTTTGTCAGAAGTTTTAATGCCAATGTTGTGATGTCACCTGTGTTTAGCCAACATTTGTTTCTGTGAAATTAAATTGTTTGTTGTAGTTTTTATCCAGTTATGCTAAAATTTGTTAAAAATTTGAACTTTAAAAAAAAAACAATACATATTTTCTTTCTAATTTTTTATATGAGGTTAATTAACTTCTTAAAGATGTAGTAATTTGTAACATTATTTATACTTCTGAAGTTGAAACTAAATTCTATGAGTGCAGCTGTTGAAAGGGAAATAACTCTGTTGGTTGATCTAAGGGAGACAACTTGATTGATTAAGTCCTACAACGTTTACTAGTGGGATTTGCTTACTTAGTCAGCTGAGTCTTTTCACTGAGAAATTGGACTCCCTGTGTGTGTGGTTAAAGAAAACACTACTCATAACTACTTGTAATATTAGTTTTTTTAGTTAGCCTTTTAAAAAAAAATGTCAGCATGTTGGTTAAAAATGGAAAACGGACTCATATCAATATATTTTTTATGGAGTATTGTAGAAAATAAAATCTTTTTAATGTACTTCACTCTGGTTCTTAGATAATTTTCGTTGTAGTTCACATATTGTTATCATTATGAAGACAAATGATACTCCAAGAATGTCTCCATTTCGGTCCAGCGGAATTTAAAAACAAAATTACAATAAACGAAACAAATCTGAAGTCTCAATTTGTGTGGGACAAGGGACCAATGTGTTGTGTCAGGACTTCGCGGCAGCTCATTTTTCTTCATTTCCCCACCAGCCCAGTTGAATTGTGCTGAGCTAACTTCATTAAACATGACACTTTGCATTTTTTGTTTTTTGAACACCAGAGTTTGCATTCCATTTGCAACTCATCAAGGGACTGCATTGGTGATTTTACCAGAATCTTCTCTACGCCAGTGGGCTTGTGTCTTTACTCAACTTCATGCAGCTCTGTGGCCTTATATTGGTCCACATTTAGTGGACCTGTGGCCTTATACTGGCCCACTTTTAGTGGGCTTGTGGTCCACTTCCAGTGGGCTTGTGGGCTTATACCGGTTCATTTCCAAATGGGCTTGTGTTATTTATCTGGTTTTCATTAACAACACAGGCCACATATCGACAAACATTACAAATAACATATAAACGTATGCCACCGACAATATTTTATCAGGTGATACAGAAACAAAATATCAACATATGCTACTTCGCAATGTATTATACAGACATACCGTATCCTCAAAATTCACATTCATTCATAGACTTCACATTCAAAACTCCCATTCATTCATACAACTACCAGCACCTCAATTATCAAGTGACACTGCTTCCACTTATGTGACTGAAAGTAGAACAGGTATACAAAAATTATCCCCCATTTTCTTTGCTAAACTTAAAACACTGAAATTATATCTAACCTTTCTAGTTATTTCCCTTGCAGAAGAAAATTCATCTCTATTTCCACGCCCCACCCCCCCCCCCCCTCTTCTACTCCTACTAACACTTGACTACCCGTCACACCATAAGCCTAGTGATTCGAATATTTATGTGAAATAATTATAACACTAGTCAGAATTACCTTCTATATCTGGCTGACTCAAGACATTACACAGAGAAGATTTATTATGTTGAGAGTGCGTTTTTTTTTTTTAAAGAATAGATTTATTGCTCTTCGTCCCATTCACATTGTAGGTTCTGGTAAACTCCGCCTACGTGGTGAACACACACAAACGTCCCTTGCAATAACGCTAATTTTTGTTTAATGGTGGAGATGATTGATTTGGGTAGTGCAAGGTTTTTTTTTTTTTTTTTTTGTTAGTAAAAAGAATTTTGTTTAACAGAAGATTGTATTAACAGGCGGGGTGAGTCTGGTGTGTGTTTAACACAAGAGTGTCCTGATTGGGCCAGATACGGAGTGCCGTTTAGCAGGAGGTTGTAGTACGAGAAGGGATGGGGCTGGCTGTGATCACCACACAATAGTGTCCTGATTGGGCGTCAGCAAGGCCAAACAGGCAACTCGATTTCGGCCAAGATGTTGTTTTGGGTACGTTAGAGAGCGCAGGATTTCACTGACAGCCTAGATCAAGCTTACTCTTTATCCTAGCATTTATTTAACAAGATAACGTTCAATAATAAACATATAGTTTTCTCCCTTTCGATATTTTTATCTGTATTTAAATAGAGTTACTTCGCTTTGTTTACTGGCTGGTTTTTTTTTTTAAAGATAGCTTTCACTATCATCAACACCCTCGCCTAAATAAACAAAATAAATAAATAAATAAAATAATGTGAAATATTAGCCTCGCTTGATGGCATCAATTTAGGTTGGGGGTGACACCAAAAGCAAGAATGTGATATGGCAGGTAGGCTTATATTTTAATGTATTTTGTTTCGTTAAATGTAAATAATAATTTTGATAATTTAGAAAACTAAGCTTTTATTTAGTTCATAATGTCCAGTTTGTCTGTCCATTTGTTAGTTTTTAGCAAATCTTATAACTAAATGTGGATCCACTTCTACTATAAAGCGATTTCATTTAAACTTTTCAGGTATATTCATCTCCAAAGACATCATGTTTAGTTACATTTTCAGCTTCACTGTTCTCTATAGTTCTGAAGTTTCCGTGATCTCCAGCGACCCATTCTGAGCTTTCCTTAAAGAAAATTCTGATTTATTATAATGTTGTTGACATGTAAAAAAAAATAATTGAAAAATTCCATTTTAAATGTTTAATTATTTAAAACTAATGATAAATGTGTGTATTGCATTCTGCTGATAGTGAATATTTAATTATAATAGCGCAAATGTGATGATCGTTTCATTGCACTAGTGTATATTATACATGTGGGCATGATAAAAAAAAATACCCTTCCGAACCTGGCAGAGGAAAAAGATCTAGCCTCACATAAAAAAGGGATAGTTTGGCTAGCGCTATGCGCAACACTACTAGCCGGGCACATATTAAGGCTGAGTGGACTGAGGTACGTCCTTCGGATTCGGCCCGGGTCCAAACTTGAGACTTTCCGATTAGCATCGGTCTGCTCTACCGTACGACCACACCGCCCCACACTCTATTTTGACATTATCATATCTGACGATCGTCATCTACAATGATCAACCACTCATAGGTATTGCAATATCTAAGCTGACAGGAACCTTTATAAAACTCTGATCGTTGTATAATACCTTTTATATTATTACAATGATAATGAAAATATAATCTAGAGTTTGACCAAAGCCAATAACAGAAACGAAAGTCTTCCATTTTGATATGTTTGCCATTTTACTCCTTCCATTTTGCTTCTAATGTCCAAGCATCAATTTTAATTTGGAAACATATAAGATGGCGAAAGTTTTATTCCCAGAGTTATCTTTCCAACATTTACAGTTATCTTTCCTTTAATGTAAATCTCTTCTGTTGACGTAAATCTTTCTGCTGGACAAGAAAACGTGTCAGCAACAAATATCAGAGCGTTAGGTAAACCGCGTTAAGACAGTCGTCTGCAGGTGCTAACAACATCGTCTGATCATGGCCGGTATGAATTGTCTCCCCTGGACAGGCCAGACGAGGCCAACACGTGACACCGGTCAGTCAACCAATGAGATAACAAGCCTGAATGTGTCGTGGGCACGCGAAAAGGGTTCCCTTCCATGTCACGCCAGACATGCGCAAACACGCGACTTCCGTCTCTGTCGTCATTTCGCGGTGGATGAATAATTTATTTTATTTTCAGACAAAACAATTTGAAAAATGTATAGATCGAGATCCACGCCCACCCCCTCCCCCTCCACCCCCCTGCCCCCTGGGTCTTTATGTCAATGGCAAGAAGAGAGGCAGAGAAAGATCACAAACAGGGAATTAAAATAAGAGCAAGAGGGCAGGAGACGTAGCAATGATCACTTCAATAAATAGGTGGTGGTTGGGAATGATGATTAGGGGGGGGGGGGGGGTTAGAGCAACGCTTCTTCCAGGCATCTCTACCCCCCCCCCCCCCTGAACGAAATGGAAGTTATATAGAAAAAATATACTTTTAACAGTGCCCCCCCCCCCCCCGAAAATTTAAAGTGCCCCCCCCCCCGGAGAAAAAAGTCTGAAAGAAACACTGGGTAAGAGGTATGGGTTTAAGGGTAAGGGGTAATGGTTAGGGTGAGGGGTGGGGGTAGGGTATGAGGGTAGGGTTGATTGTTGACGGTAGGTGTGATGGTATGCATGATGTTGGGGATAATAGATTTTGTAGGGATAAAGGTAAGATTTATATTAAGGATGATTGCTAATGGTAAGAGGTGATGATTGGGGATGATTGGAGTGGTGATTGTTGGGGTGATGACTGGTGGTTGGGATATGGTGGTGATGATCGTTGACACAGGAGAGATGTTAAACTGTGATGGTAAATTGTAATGTTAATGGGTGGTCACTTCTTATTATTCGTTCTTAATTTTTAGTGTTGGGAGGGATCGAGCCTTATCTGCCAGAGGGTTCGAACTCGAGACTTTTTTCGAATTTATCAACCATGAGCAGTTTGATTTTGGAGTTGTCTCTCCTAGAAGAGTGGCTGTCCCCAGCTAACGAGCCTCATCTGCCCGAGGGTTCGAACTCGAGACTTTCTGGTTTAGCAACCATGAGCTTTACCGACTCGACCACACTAAATGGTATTACATTCCTATGAATTTGTAACTAGCTTTTTGCCTAGCGTGGGATGGAGAAGTTGGTGCACTGTGTAGGGCTGGGGGAGGTGGGGGGGGGGGGGGTTATATCGTGACATCACATATTTTGATTGTATTAAAAATAACAATTATGGCGTGAGTGTGTTCATTTTCGTTATAACCTTGTTATTTTAGTGTGTGTATGCGTGTGTGTGAGGGGAATGGAAATGAAACTTATGACGTTATTTTAAGTGTATCTGATATGGCTTGCGACGGTGGGGATAAGTTTAAACACTGAACTTCAAAAGCAAAGGTCAATGACCTTCCTGGTCCCACCCGGGGTCAATATCTGCACCCCCCCCCCCCCATGTCCCTTCATAAGTTCCAGATGTTAAATCCAGCAGTAAGTCTAGTAAACACGGGGAACTGTGGTTTACTTCACACATCTGAACCTCCAATAAGTTCAAAACAACATCACATCAAAGGGCAGACAACAAGAGAGGGGTTGTTTGTGGTAGGGAGTGACCGTTTGGTTTTTTTCAGTGCTAATGTAATAAGCATGTGTGTTTTTATTAATGTTATACACACACAGACACACACACAGACACACATATATATATATATACACATGTATATATACATGTATATATGTATATATATACATATATATATACATATATACATATATACATATATACATATATATATATATACATGTATATATATATATACATGTATATATACATGTATATATATATATGTATATATGTATATATATATATATATATATATATATATATATATATATATATATATATATATATATATATATACATATATATATATACATGTATATATATGTATATATACATGTGTATATATATATATATATATATATATATATATATATATAT